TCTGCAGAATTGTTGTACCCTAAAAATAATATTTTGCATCAAATTGACATGTTCAACAGTTTGTATCTTTTACATATGTGACCTAAAACCAAACCAAGGTGCCATGGGGGGATATGCATATCATTGATATAAAAACATTCAGGAAAAAGTTCTTAGGTTTAGATATGTAGGAGCTATCTAGACAAACAAGAGGCCCAAGGGCCTTGAATCGCTCTTCTAATAAACTGTACAACCTACGGTATCACTTCTATTTGATGATTCAAATCCGTATAGTACACCAAAAATATTAAATACAGCCATAAAATTTCAAAAGTAGGTCAGGGTGACCTACTTTTCAGTTGTCGTACTCCAAGGACCCAAGATGCATCAACTGACAAAGTTTGATGATTCTAAGCAAACTGGTTTCTGAAATATATTATTAAAGCCATAAATTTTCAAAAGTAGGTCATGGTGACCTATTTTTCAGTCGATTTACTCCGAAGACCCAAGATGCATCAACTGACAAAGTTTGATGATTCTAAGCCAATTAGTACTTGCAATATTTAATTATAGTCATATAAATTGAAAAGTAGATCACGATAGTCTACTTTTCAGTCGACCTACTGCGATGACCTAAGATACATCAACTTACAAAGTTTTATGATCAAAGGCCTTAAAATGTCCAAATTATGCCTCTTAAATGCTTTGAAATCGCATGCCTGCAAAGTTCAAAAAGTAGGTCACTGTGACCTACTTTTTAATACATATGTTTTATGGCCCCAAGATGCATCATCTTGCAAGATTCCATGTTTCTGAACCTCTCAATAATCAAATTATTGACCTGAATTGTTTTGTAAAAGATTAACCATAAAATTCAAAAAAATAGGTCAAGCTGAAATACTTTTTAGTTGACGTACTTCGATGACCAAATATACATCAACTGACAAAGTTTGATGATCATAGGCCTTAAATTGTTCAAAATATGCCTCTAAATCATTTTGATAAAGAATGGCTGCAAAATTTAAAAAGTAGGCCACTGTGACTTACTTTTAAGTCAACATGATATGAGGTCCTTAGATGCATCAACTAACAAGATTTGATGATCCTAGTCCTTATAGTAAGCAAAAATATCAACATTTTAAAAAAATGTAATTTTTCGTCAACTTTGAAGTGACCTTGAGACCACGCCCTTTGCCCCAGGGTGATGCCTTGAACAATTTTTAATCTACAACATATCCTCATCCTTTTGTATAAGTTTGGTGATAATCTGCCCAGTGGATCTGGAGAAGATTTTTTAGCAACCAGTACTTTTGTTTCCATTTTCCTAATTATCTCCCCTTGCTTAAGGGTCACAACCCTAGTTTTAGTACAATAGGGAGTCCTTGCGCCAAGGATACCCTGTGACAAATTTCACAATAATTGGCCAAGGGGTTCTTGAGTTATGGCCCATATTCTAAAAAGTTTAAGCACACCCAACAAATGGCCATAGCATTAACTCTTTGAGCCTTTGGATAAGAAGAGCTAATAACAAGAGGCCCATGGGCCACATCGCTCACCTGAGCACATTGGCTAGGCAAAAGCACAAATCAGTTCAGTATTGAAAAGACCGGGGGGGGGGGGGGGGGGGGGCTTGAATTTTAAACTACCTGATGATGCTTCCATGTCAATGTAACAAATGGCTTTGTTGTACTTGAGAAGATTTTAAAAAATTTCCCATATATTCCTTTCTAAAAATTTGATCCCCCATTGTGGCTCCTCCCTATCCCAGGAGTCATCATTTGAACAAACTTGAATCTACACTACCTGAGGATGCTTCCATATCAATATGACTAAACATAGCTTTACTGTTCTTGAGAAGAAATATTTCTTCGATATGTTCTTATGTAAAACTTTCCATCCCCCATTGGGCCCCACCCTACCCCTGCGGGTCATCATTTGAACAAAATAGAATCTATACTACCTAAGGATGCTTCCATATCAAAATGACTAATAATGGTTTGCAGTTCTTCAGAAGAAGATATTTTCCTATATATTTCTATGTAAAACGTTGATCCTCCATTGTGGCCCCGCCCTACACCCAGGGGACATGGTTTGAACAAACTTGAATCTACACTACCTGAGGATGTGTCCATATAAATTTGACTCATCATGGCTTTCCTGTTATTGAGAAGAAGATTTTTAAAGATTTTTCCTTTATATTTCTATGTAAAACTTTGATCCTCCATTGTGGCCCCGCCCTACCCCTTGGGGTCATGGTTTGAACAAACTTGAATCTACACTACCTGAGGATGCTTCCATATAAATATGACTCATCATGGCTTTACTGTTCTTGAGAAGAAGATTTTTAAAGATTTTTCCTATATATTTCTATGTAAAACTTTGATCCTCCATTGTGGCCCCGCCCTACCCCCAGGGGGATCCTGGCTTTAACAAACTTGAATCTACACTACCTGAGGATGCTTCCCTATAAATATGATTCATCATGGCTTTGCTGTTCTTGAGAAGAAGATTTTTAAAGATTTTTCCTATATATTTCTATGTAAAACTTTGATCCTCCATTGTGGCCCCGTCCTACCCCCGGGGGTCATGGTTTTAACAAATTTCAATCTACACTACCTGAGGATGCTTCCATATAAATATGACTCATCATGGCTTTGCTGTTCTTGAGAAGAAGATTTTTAAAGATTTTTCCTTTATATTTCTATGTAAAACTTTGATCCTCCATTGCGGCCCCGCCCTACCCCTTGGGGTCATGGTTTGAACAAACTTGAATCTACACTACCTGAGGATGCTTCCCTATAAATATGACTCATCGTGGTTTTGCTGTTCTTAAGAAGAAGACTTTCAAAGATTTTTCGTATATGTTTCTATGTAAAACTTTGATCCTCCATTGTGGCCCCGCCCTACCCCCAGGGGGATCCTGGCTTTAACAAACTTGAATCTACACTACCTGAGGATGCTTCCCTATAAATATGATTCATCATGGCTTTGCTGTTCTTGAGAAGAAGATTTTTAAAGATTTTTCCTTTATATTTCTATGTAAAACTTTGATCCTCCATTGGGGCCCCGCCCTACCCCCAGGGGTCATGGTTTGAACAAACTTGAATCTACACTACCTGAGGATGCTTCCACATAAATATGATTCATCATGGCTTTGCTGTTCTTGAGAAGATTTTTAAAGATTTTTCCTATATACTTCTATGTAAAACTTTGATCCTCCATTGTGGCCCCGCCCTACCCCCGGGGGTCATGATTTGAACAAACTTGAATCTACACTACCTGAGAATGCTTCCACATGAATTTGACTCATCATGGCTTTGCTGTTCTTGAGAAGAAGATTTTTAAAGATTTTTCCTATATATTTCTATGTAAAACTTTGATCCTCCATTGCTGGCCCGCCCTATCCCTGGGGGTCATGGTTTTAACAAACTTGAATCTACACTACCTGAGGATGCTTCCATATAAATATGACTCATCATGGCTTTGCTGTTCTTGAGAAGAAGATTTTTAAAGATTTTTCCTATATATTTCTATGTAAAATTTTGATCCTCCATTGTGACCCAGCCCTACCCTCGGGGGTCATGATTTGAACAAACTTGAATCTACACTACCTGAGGATGCTTCCACATGAGTTTCATCTCTCCTGGCCCTATGGTTCTTGAGAAGAAGATTTTTAAATGATTCCATTATTTTTTCAGTAATTCCTAATTATCTTCCCTTGAAAGAGGGCTTGGCCCTTCATTTTAACAAACTTAAATCCCCTTTACCAAAGGATACTTTGTGGCAAGTTTTGTTGAAATTGGCCCAGTGGTTCTTGAGAAGAAGTCGAAAATGTGAAAAGTTTACAGACAGACAGACGGACAGACAGACGGACAGACAGAGGGACACCGGACAAAATGTGATCAGAAAAGCTCACTTGAGCTTTCAGCTCAGGTGAGCTAAAAAGAACCCTGTATGCAATAATTGGCATAAAAAATATTCTTGTCATAAATGATCCAAAACACTAATCAAAAATCAAAATCAATGCACTAAACATATCTCTTATATAAATATGTACAACTTCTCTGCACAACAAACTCCTTACTTTGAAAACTGTTGATGGGATTATCCAGATATATCATATGCCAAAATAAGCAATATTTGGCACCCAAACTGATGAAGTTAAACAACTGTTCATTTCCCAAAAATGATCTAAATTCAAAATCAGAGCACCATGCATATCTTTAATGAAAGTTTATAACCTCATCTGCAAAACAACATCTTCTGACTTTGAAAACTGTTAGAGTGCTTATCCTGAAAAACGATGTAAAAGCTACATTATACATACAAATGACTAAGTTCAACAACTGCTATTTTCCCTATAAATGATCTGAAATCAAAACTCAACTATCTTGTACATCATTAGTGTATGTACAATTGATCTGTATAAAAAAACCTCTTATCCTGAACACTATAAGAGAAGAGAACTGGATAAATGATGAGCACCGTAATCAATACTTTGCATACAATTCACCCAGTTCATCTGCTAATATCCCTCTCCTAAATGATCAAAAGTCAAAATTTAGGCACCAAGTTCATTTTCAGGGATAGATAATTGATCCCCAATTGTAGGAGTACTCTGGAAAAATGAACAGATTCAACCACTGCTATTTTCCCCTATCACACATTAGAATTCAAAATTAATGTAACCAATAGATCCCTAATACATGTAATGTACAATTTACCTGCAAAATATTAATTTCTTATTTTCAACAATTTAGCAAGATGTATCCAAACAAATGTTGTACTCTCTTATATTCTGCAGCACAAAAATGACTGAAGTTCAATAACTGCTATTTGAAGCATAAATGATCAGTAGTCTAAATCCAAGTACTACGCAAATACTTAATGTATGTACTTTTGATCTGCAAACCAAAAACTTCTTATTGTAAAAACTGCTGCAGAAGTTATCCGAACAAATGTTGAACCCAGTATGCAATATTTTGCATCAAAATGATGTGACTAATTTTAACAACTGGTACCTTTATAGATGATCAAAAATCAAAGTCGAAGCATCATATTCATTTCCCATGTATGTTTCTTTGATCTGCAAAATAAAAATAAATGATATCTTTAAAACTGTTGAAGGAGTTGTCTGGAAAATTCATGTACACTTGTAAGCAATATAACACATTAAATGGCTAAATTTATCATATGGTATTTTCTTATCAATGACCAAAAATCAAACTCCAAGCATATTGGCATCTCTGCTGTATGTTCATTAGACTTGATCAATTAGAAACCTATATTCCCTTTCATGGGATTTCTTTTAGCAGAAAACTGAAGAAGGTATTGCCTACAGAAATGTTGTACTCTTAAAGCAATATTTTACATCAAATTGACATGTTCAACAGTTTGTATCTTTTTCATAAATGACCAAAAATCAAACCAAGGTGCCATGAATATCAATGATGTAAAAACATTCAGGAAAAAAGTCCTTAGGTTTAGATATGTAGGAGCTTCCTGGACAAATAAAATGAACCCTTTCTGCAAGAGTTGACATAAAAATCAAAAATACCAACAACTAGTATATTTGTCATAAACGATCCAAAACAAAGTCCAAACACTTATCAACTCTCTTCCAAATGTACAACTGATTTGCACATTAAAAAAATCCTATCCCAAAAACTGTAGGATAAAATACCCTATAAGAAATATTTTGCACAAACATCTGGTATTTTCCAAGTCACTAATCAAAAATCAAAATCAATGTACTAAACATATCTCTTATATAAATATGTACAACTTCTCTGCACAACAAACCCCTTACTTTGAAAACTGTTGATGGGATTATCCAGATATATCATATGCCAAAATAAGCAATATTTGGCACCCAAACTGATGAAGTTAAACAACTGTTCATTTCCCAAAAATGATCTAAATTCAAAATCAGAGCACCATGCATATCTTTAATGAAAGTTTATAACCTCATCTGCAAAACAACATCTTCTGACTTTGAAAACTGTTAGAGTGCTTATCCTGAAAAACGATGTAAAAGCTACATTATACATACAAATGACTAAGTTCAACAACTGCTATTTTCCCTATAAATGATCTGAAATCAAAACTCAACTATCTTGTACATCATTAGTGTATGTACAATTGATCTGTATAAAAAAAACCTCTTATCCTGAACACTATAAGAGAAGAGAACTGGATAAATGATGAGCACCGTAATCAATACTTTGCATACAATTCACCCAGTTCATCTGCTAATATCCCTCTCCTAAATGATCAAAAGTCAAAATTTAGGTACCAAGTTCATTTTTCAGGGATAGATAATTGATCCCCAATTGTAGGAGTACTCTGGAAAAATGAACAGATTCAACCACTGCTATTTTCCCCTATCACACATTAGAATTCAAAATTAATGTAACCAATAGATCCCTAATACATGTAATGTACAATTTACCTGCAAAATATTAATTTCTTATTTTCAACAATTTAGCAAGATGTATCCAAACAAATGTTGTACTCTCTTATATTCTGCAGCACAAAAATGACTGAAGTTCAATAACTGCTATTTGAAGCATAAATGATCAGTAGTCTAAATCCAAGTACTACGCAAATACTTAATGTATGTACTTTTGATCTGCAAACCAAAAACTTCTTATTGTAAAAACTGCTGCAGAAGTTATCCGAACAAATGTTGAACCCAGTATGCAATATTTTGCATCAAAATGATGTGACTAATTTTAACAACTGGTACCTTTATAGATGATCAAAAATCAAAGTCGAAGCATCATATTCATTTCCCATGTATGTTTCTTTGATCTGCAAAATAAAAATAAATGATATCTTTAAAACTGTTGAAGGAGTTTTCTGGAAAAATCATGTACACTTGTAAGCAATATAACACATTAAATGGCTAAATTTATCACATGGTATTTTCTTATCAATGACCAAAAATCAAACTCCAAGCATATTGGCATCTCTGCTGTATGTTCATTAGACTTGATCAATTAGAAACCTATATTCCCTTTCATGGGATTTCTTTTAGCAGAAACTGAAGAAGGTATTGTCTAAAGAAATGTTGTACCCTTAAAGTAATATTTTACATCAAATTGACATGTTCAACAGTTTGTATCTTTTTCATAAATGACCAAAAACCAAACCAAGGTGCCATGAATATCAATGATGTAAAAACATTCAGGAAAAAAGTCCTTAGGTTTAGATATGTAGGAGCTTTCCGGACAAATAAAATGAACCCTTTCTGCAAGAGTTGACATAAAAATCAAAAATACCAACAACTAGTATATTTGTCACAAACGATCCAAAACAAAGTCCAAACACTTATCAACTCTCTTCCAAATGTACAACTGATTTGCACATTAAAAAAATCCTATCCCAAAAACTGTAGGATAAAATACCCTATAAGAAATATTTTGCACAAACATCTGGTATTTTCCCAGTTACTAATCAAAAATCAAAATCAATGTACTAAACATATCTCTTATATAAATATGTACAATTTCTCTGCACAACAAACTCCTTACTTTGAAAACTGTTGATGGGATTATCCAGACATATCATATGCCAAAATAAGCAATATTTGGCATCGAAACTGATAAAGTTCAACAACTGTTCATTTCCCAAAAATGATCTATATTCAAAATCAGAGCACCATGCACATCTTTAATGAAAGTTTATAACCTCATCTGCAAAACAAACAACATCTTCTGATTTTGAAAACTGTTAGAGTGCTTATCCTGAAAAATGATGTAAAAGCTATATTATACATACAAATGATTAAGTTCAACAACTGCTATTTTCCCTATAAATGACCTGAAATCAAAACTCAACTATCTTGTACATCATTGGTGTATGTACAATCGATCTGCAAAAAACTAGAAATATGTCCATAGGACATGAATGCCCTGCTGAGGGTATATTAGTAATGCAACTTGAAAATTTGTATTAGTGTATGAAATCTGATGAGAATATCTTGAAGTTTCTTTAAAATTGAAATCTTCTAAAAGTTGGATATAAATAATAAATTATCACCAAATTATGTATAAGTCATAAGCGTACATAAATATATTTTAAATGGTTTCTTTAAAATTAAGCAAAATGCAAATTTAAGAAAAGTGAGGTCAAGGTCAAAAAATTTTGATGCAGTTGAATAGCTCTCATCAGTATGTATCAGCATACGAAGTTTGATAATACTATCCTGAATGGTATCTTTAAAACTGAGCTAAACACTAATTTTAGAAAAGTGAGGTCAAAGTGAAAGGAAAGGTGAAGGTCAAAAAATGATGATGCAGTTGAATAGATCTCATTACTATGTATTAGGATATGAAGTTTGAAATATCTTGAATGGTTTCTTTAAAACTGAGCTAAACAATTATTTAAGAAAAAAAGGGCGTCAAGGTCAAAAGAAACGTCAAGGTAAAAAATATGTGGATGCAGTTGAATAGCTCTCATCAGTATGTTTCAGCATATGAAGTTTGATAACACTATCCTGAATGGTTTCTTTAAAACTGAGCTAAACACTTATTTAAGAAAAGTGAGGTCAAAGGTCAAAGGAAAGGTGAAAAAAAAAATGTTGATGTAGTTGAATAGCTCCTATCAGGATATATCAGCATAAGAAGTTTGAAAACACTGTCCTGAATGGTTTCTTTAAAACTACTTCACACTAATTTAAGAAAAGTGAGGTCAAGGTCAAAGGAAAGGTCAAGGTCAAAAAATGTTGATGCAGTTTAACAGCTCTCATCAGTATGTATCAGCATATAAAGTTTGATAAAATATCTTCAATGGTATCTTTAAAAATAAGCTAAACACCACTTTAGGAAAAGTGAGGTCAAGGTCAAAGGAAAGGTCAAGGTCAAAAAATGTTGATGCAGTTCCATAGCATTCATCAATATCCATCAGCATATGAAGTTTGATTAAAATATCTTAGATAATTTCTTTGAAAATGAGCTTTGAACTGACCTAAACGCAAAGCACGATGGAAGGACAAACAGAAGGACAGGAGGATGGAAGGACAGAAGATGAACATGACAAACACTATTTTCCCAGGTCATATTCATAGCGGGGAATTAAAAATGTCTTATCCTGAACACTATAAGAGGAGAGAATTGGTCAAATGATGAGCACTGTAATCGATATTTTGCATAAAATTGACCCAGTTCATCTGCTAATATCCCTCTCCTAGATGATCCAAAATCAAAATTTAGGTACCATGTTTTCATTTCTCAGGGATAAAAAATTGATCAACAATTGTAGGAGTACTCTGGAAGATAGAACATGTTCAACCTCTGCTATTTTCCCCCATCAAACATCAAAATTCAAAATCAAAGTACTCAGTAGATCCTTAATACATGTATATATATAATTTACCTGCAAAATATTAATTTCTTATTTTCAACAATTTACATGTAGCAAGATGTATCCAAACAAATGTTGTACTCTCTTATATTCTGCAGCACAAAAATGACTGAAGTTCAATAACTGCTATTTGAACCATAATTGATCAGAAGTCTAAATCCAAGTACCAAGTATCAAACTATATGCTTCCATGTCAATATAACAAATGGCTTTGTTGTACTTGAGATTTTTTTTTTTAATTTTCCCATATATTCCTTTGTAAAAATTTGATCTCCCATTGTGGCTCCTCCCTATCCCATGGGTCATCATTTGAACAAACTTAAATCTACACTACCTGAGGATGCTTCCATATCAATATGACTAAACATAGCTTTTCTGTTCTTGAGAAGCATTTCTTTTTTCTATATGTTCTTATGTAACTTTCAATCCCCCACTGTGGCTCCACCCTCCCCCCGGGGGTCATCATTTGAACAAAATTGAGGATGCTTCCATATCAAAATGCTAAACATGATTTTCTGTTCTTGAGAAGAAAATATTCTCCTATATGTTCTATGTAAAATTTTCGATCCCCATTGTGGCCCAACCCTATCCCCGGGGGGTTATCATTTTAACAAACTTGAATCTACACTACCTGAGGATGATTCGATATCACAATGAATAATCATAGCTTTGCAGTTCTTCTTCAGAAGATATTTTCCTATATATTTCTATGTAAGACTCTGACCCTCCATTGTGGTCCCACCCTTCCCCCGGGGTTCATTTTTTGAACAAAATAGAATCTACACCCTAAGGATGCTTCCACATAAATATGACCAATCAGGGCTTTGTTGTTCCTGAGAAGATTTTTAAAATTTTTCCTATACATTTCTATGTAAAACTTTAATCCTCCATTGTGGACCCACCCCACTCCGAGGGGTCATGATGTGAACAAACTTGAATCTTCACTACCTAAGGATGCTTCCATATAAATATGACCAATAAGGGTTTTGCTAATCTTGAGAAGATTTTTAAAGATTTTTCCTATATATTTCTATGTAACTTTGATCCTCCATTGTTTGGTTGAAATTGGCCCCGTGGTTCTAGAGAAGAAGTCGAAAATGTGAAAGTTTACAGACAGAGGGACGGAATGACAGATGGGCTACATACAAAATGTGATCAGAAAAGCTCACTTGAATTTTGAGCTCAGGTGAGCTAACAAGAGGCCCATGGGCCACAATGCTCACCTGAGTAACTTTGGCCCTGCTGTTCTTCACCAGACTTTCCCCCATGTAATACACCTATTGTGGTCCCATCCTATCCCAGGGGTCATGATTTTAACAATTTAGAATCTACACTACCCCAGGATACTTCTACATTAGTTTCAGCTTTTTGGCCCTGTGGTTCTTGAGAAGAAGATTTTTTAAGTTTTTTTCTATATATTTCGATGTAAAACTTGGATTCCCTATTGTGGCCCCGCCCTACCCCCGGGGGTCATGCTTTTAACAATTTATATCTACACTACCCCAGGATACTTCTACATTAGTTTCAGCTTTTCTGGCCCTGTGGTTCTTGAGAAGAAGATTTTTAAAGATTGTTTCTATATATTTCAATGTAAAACTTGGATTCCCTATTGTGGCCCCGCCCTACCCCCGGGGGTCATGATTTTAACAATTTAGAATCTACACTACCCCAAGATGCTTCCACATTAGTTTCAGCTTTTCTGGCCCAGTGGTTCTTGAGAAGAAGATTTTTAAAGATTTTTCCTATATACTTCTACGTAAAACATTGATTCCACATTGTGGCCCCGCCCTACCCCCGGGGGTCATGATTTGAACAATTTAGAATCTACACTACCCCAGGATGCTTCCTTATAAGTTTCAGGTTTACTGGCTCTGTGGTTCTTGAGAAGAATTTTTAATGACCCCACCCTATTTTTGTCTTCTCTTGATTATCTCCCCTTGTGAGGGGACTTGGCCCTTCATTTTAACAATTTAAATTCCCCTTCACCCAAGGATGCTTTGTACCAAGTATGGTCAAAATTGGCCCAGTGGTTCTTGAGAAGAAGTCAAAAATGTGAAAAGTTTACAGACGGACGGACAGACGGACAGACGGACGGACGGTCGACGGACAAAATGTGATCAGAAAAGCTCACTTGAGCCTTCGGCTCAGGTGAGCTAAAAACGATGTAAAAGCTACATTATACATACAAATGACTAAGTTCAACAACTGCTATTTTCCCTATAAATGATCTGAAATCAAAACTCAACCATCTTGTATATCATTGTATGTACAATTAACCTGCAAAAAAAGTCTTTATCCTGAATACTACAAGAAAGGAGAACTGGATAGATGATGAGCACTGTAATCAATACTTTGCATACAATTCACCCAGTTCATCTGCTAATATACCTCTCCTAAATGATCAAAAATCAAAATTTAGGTACCAAGTTCATTTTTCAGGGATAGATAATTGATCCCCAATTGTAGGAGTACTCTGGAAGATAGAACATGTTCAACCTCTGCTATTTTCCCCCATCAAGCATCAGAATTCAAAATTATTCAGTAGACCCTTAATATATGTAATGTACAATTTACCTGCAAAATGTTAATTTCTTATTTTCAACAATTTAGCAAGATGTATCCAAACAAATGTTGTACTCTCTCATATTTTGCATAAAAATGACCGAAGTTTAATAACTGCTATTTGAACCATAAATGAACAGAAATCTAAAGCCAAGTACTACACAAATACGTAATGTATGTTCTATTGAACTGCAAACCAAAAACTTCTCATAGTAAAAACTGTTGGAGAAGTTATCCAAATAAATGATGAACCCAGTATGCAATATTTTGTATAATAATGATGTGATAATTTTAACAACTGGTACCTTTATAGATGATCAAAAATCAAAGTTGAAGCATCATATTCATCTCTGATGAACATTTCTTTGATCTACAAAATAAAAAAAATGATATCTTTAAAACTGTTGAAGGAGTTATCTGGAAAAATCAACTTGAAGTACACTTGTTAGTAATATAAGACATTAAATGGCTAAATTAATCAACTGGTACTTTCTTATCAATGACCAAAAATCAAACTCCAAGTGCAATGTGCATCTCTATTGTATGTTTATTAGACTTGAACAATTCGAAACCTATATTCCCTTTCATGGGATTTCTTTAAGCAGAAAAATGAAGGAGGTATTATCTGCAGAAATGTTGTACCCTAAAAGTAATATTTTGCATCTAATTGACATGTTCAACAGTTTGTATCTTTTTCATAAATGACCAAAAACCAAACCAAGGTGCCATGAATATCAATGATGTAAAAACATTCAGGAAAAAAGTCCTTAGGTTTAGATATGTAGGAGCTATCTGGACAAATAAAATGAACCCTTTATGCAAGAGTTGACAAATCAAGAATACCAACAACTAGTATTTTTGTCATAAATGATCCAAAACAAAGTCCAAACACTTATCGACTCTCTTCCAAATGTACAACTAATTTGCATACCCCATAAGCAAATGAATCAATGTACTAAACATATCTCTTATATAAATATGTACAATTTCTCTGCACAACAAAGTCCTTACTTTGAAAACTGTTGATGGGATTATCCAGACATTTGACATACCAAAACCAGCAATATTTGGTATCAAAAATGATGAAGTTCAACAACTGCTCATTTTCCAAAAATGATCTAAATTCAAAATCAGAGCACCATGCACATCTTTAATGAAAGTTTATAACCTCATCTGCAAAACAAACAAGACCTTCTGATTTTAAAAACTGTTACAGTGGTTATCCTGAGAAACGATGTAAAGCTACATTATACATAAAAATGACTAAGTTGAACAACTGCTATTTTCCCTATAAATGAGTATAAACCATGCAACAACTTTCCAACAATTGTATTTGGTTTGTGTTTTATACCAGAGGCCATGAAAATCACAATTTTGAAAGAGGCATCATTGCTAATCATAACTTAATAATACACTTAGCATGCTTACTTTGATTTCTTAATACCCAGAGGCAGATCAGAGGAACAAAGAAAATCAAAGGCCTTAATGCCTGAGAGATGCATCACATTGAAGATAGAAAACTCAAAAAAAAATTCTCAGAAAAATTCAGCAAACATGTTGAGGGAAAATCAGGAATAAAAAAAAAATAAAATATTGTTTCTTTGAGGTTAAAAAATGTTTTGTTTTTTTTTTTATTCTTTCATTATTATCATAGTAGGAAGATGAAATAATGAATGAGAATTTAGAAAGGAATGATTATTGGATAATTCTATATAATTTAATATCTGATTTTTTTTTTTAGTTTCTTTCATTTTGTGAACTTTTTTAAATATCAATACTTTGTCTTAGACTAGTTTTCTCAATCAAAAATGGCATAATACGTAAACCATAGTGCAATACATGAAATGTTCATATAAATAATACAGGACTAAAAACAAAAAACAAAAAACAATCGGGTGTGGTATACCGTATACTATGAAACCCATCAATGGTGGCCAATTTGCTCCGATATATTTTCAATAAAATTGGTTATAAAACCTTGGCGGTAAGGATTGAACTCAAAACGTCTTATGTTTATAAGGTATTAGTAATCCTATAAATTGAAATCCACAGTTATTGCAGTTTTTATCAGTCATTTAATCATATTCAACCGACATTTCACCAAAAACCGATCATTTCACCATTTCATGTCACCTTCGTGGAATGTTTTTCCCGAAAGGTGGCGCTTGTTGCAAATTTTTTTTCAGTTGGACATCTTACTATTTGTTTCATTGAGTGAAAAAATAATAATATCCCTTCTATTTCTATAAAAACAACCATCTTGTTCCTATTGCTAGTGATGTTTTATAAAATAAAATTATTATATGTTTTTCTCAGATATTCGTACAAGCAATGTCGCCTTACAAGGCCTAATCATTTATAGTACGAGTTGTTGTGATGCAAAGAGATCTTACTTCGCGTAGCGCACGTTTGTTTGTTGTTGTTTTATCTCTTTTTGATTTTGTTTTTGTTTCTTTTTTTTGTTGTCTTTGTTGCTTTCAAAGTAAAAACAACAAATATATGTGAGATTTTATGTTATTTGATATTTAAAAATAGACAATGAATATCACCAACTTGTCAATAAACATTTGCACTATTTTCAATGGCGTATTTAGAATCAATATTGTGGAGTCCTTTGTCTCCGCAATAATTGAAAGAAAGAATTGGGGGTCATCAGCAATGAGGCTACATCGCTGATAGCGATGCACCTCAAAAATGCATTTCCACAATATAATCAGTAGTACCCCACCCCACAGGAACCACTGACCCTGGGGCCACATATTTCACAATTTTGGAAAAGGCACCTTTGCTCATCACAAATGGTTGATTTATACCAAAGAGCAGATTACAAGGCATAAATTCATTTTCATGATCATTTGAACTTTCTCTCTCTCTCCCACCCCATGATAACCCTGACCCAGAGGCCATGAAATTCATCATTTTGGAAGAGGCATCCTTCCTTATCATAACTATGTACATGGTTTATTGGTTTAATACCAAGGAGGAGAGGAGAAGATTTTCAAGGAAATAATGCATTTTCACTATACAATGTATAAATCATTAGAGCCCCGCCTAACACCAGAACACCTGACCCAGGAATTTATGCTTAAAGAAGTACCTTTGCTCATCATAACTATGTAATTAGATCATTGGCAAAATACCATGGACCAGAGGAGAAGATTTTCAAAGAATTAATGCATTTTCACTGTATAATCAATGGAGCCCCATCCTTACACCAAAAATTACCCCTGACCCAGGGGCCTTGAAAATCACAATTTTGGAGCAGGCACCCTTCCTCATCATAACTATGTACATAGTTTATTGGCTTAATACCCAGGAGCAAAGGAGAAGATTTTCAGAGAACTAATGTATTTTCACTATATAATCATTAGAGCCCCGCCATGTTAAACACCAGAACCCCTGACCCAGGGCCTTGAAAATCACAATTTTGGAAGAAGTTCCCTTCCTCATCACAACTACATTGTATGTACATAGTTCATTGGTTTAATATCCAGGAGAGAGGAGGAGATAATTTCAAATAATCAATGCATTTTCACTATCTAATCATTAGAGCCCTGCCCTGACACCAGAACCCCTGACCTAGGGGCCTTGAAAATCACAATTTTGGAAGAGGACCATTCCTTTACTTTTTTCATTGCATTTGCCTAGCAAAGAATAAAAAACAAAGTGTTACACTTGATGCATTTAAGACTTTAAATTTTTTGCCAAGCTTATAATATTTGTTTTTCAAGTAATGATATATGCTGGAAAAAATGTTAATGCATATTTTGGAGCTGAGCAGAATACCAAAGTCAATATTCAAATACCAGTCTCAAAAGCACCCGCCCGTCAGACAAAACAGGTAAAATCTAATTGGTTCAATGCACTAACTGGTAAAATCAGTCCGTTTGTCTGAGGTTTGATTTGGTTGGGTTTTAAAATTTATATTTTCTATTTGATCTTATAGACGCTTTAACTATTACCAAAACACTTTAATAAAAACCATTAAAGTTAATCATGATTATTTTAAAACATACTTCCACCATGATGGGTCTAAAATATTTCGATGAGGCGGTACCAGGGAAGAAAAAGTGTGTTATTTGTTAATTAATCCATATGATATTAATTAACATCCTTATGCATTCCAACGCAACATATAAACAAATATTGAAGACTTCAATAGTTATCAAGTCCCAGCGTTAAAGCATTACTTAAGTACGAAAGGTATAACAACATCCATGTACAGAAAAGCTCATTTGATAAAACTGTGTGAATTGGCAAGAGAAATAGACCTAGAAGATATAGAAACAAAAGATGATTATTATATGATAAAAGTTTTGGACTGGTGAAAATTTGTTTAATCCCATGAAACGTTTTAAATTGCCTGTGATGATTTTTTTTTTTTTCACGAAGACTGCAATACATGTATTTGCAACTTCTATTAATTTGTTATTCAAATATTTTTTGATGTTATATTTTACCGTATTTCTTTCAAAAATTTATAATTCCAATTATTTGCAGATTTTGGTAATTTTGTAAACATAACACTAAATTAATTTAATGATATAATTTACTTGAAACAAGAAGCCCAAGGGCCTTGAATCGCTCTTCTGATAAATTGTACAACCTATCACTTCTATTTGATGCATCTAAGTATCCTGTATATTAAGAAAAAGCCTTGAAATTCCAAAAGTAGGTCGTCATGACCTACATTTTGGTTAAAACATGCTGAAAACCCAAGATGAATCAACTGACGAAGTGTGAAGCCCCTTATTATCCTAAATCTTCAGATAAAGCCATGAGATTATGAGATTCCAAACTTTTTGGTAAACATACTCCTTGTCTCAAAAATGCCTCAACTGACAAAGTTTAATGATTTTAAGACTCTTATTATTTGAAATACTTAGATGTTGCCTTGCAATTCCTTGCAATTCCAAAAGTAGGTCACTGTGACCTACTTTTTAGTTGACACACTCTGAGGTCCCAAAATGCATCAACTGACAAAGCTTAATGATTCTTAGCCAATAAGGACCTGAGATATTTAAATATAGCCACAAAATTTCATAAGAAGTTTACAGTGACCTACTTTCTGGTTGGCGTTCTCCAAGGATCCAAGATGCATCAATTGACAAAATTTGATGATTCAAATCCAATTAGTTCTTGAGTTTTATAAATATAGCCATAAAATTTCAAAAGTAGGTCAGGGTGACCAACTTTTAGTTGATGTTCTCCCATGACCCAAGATGCATCAATTGACAAAGTTTGATGATTCTAAGCCAGTAAGTACCAGATATACTTAGATATATCCATAAAGTTTCACCATGACCTTCTTTTTGGTTGGCATTCTAATGAGGACCTAAGATGCATCAATTGACAAAGTTTGATTATTCTTAGCC